TAACCGATTCTTTACTTTACCCGTAACATATGTACTAAAAGAATTTAGATATAGCTATAAGTTCTTTGAATTTGTTACAAAATGTAATAAAAAGAAGTTTAATTTTACGTATATAATATTTTATTACTATTTTTGAAATAAAAATAAAGATTATAGCTGGTATATATGAACTTCTAAAGCGAAGTAAGGATAAGCAATTGTTAAAAACTTACACAAGTAGTACCTTTTAATGCTTACCCGTATTAATAAAACCGTTAAAGAATTTTCTGAAGTTATTACTTAATTTTTATCTCAATTCAAATCCTATTTTGAAGCTAATGCTTGCAACTGTGAAAGAATTAAAATAAGAAATATAGTTAACTATTATATTTATCAGAATTCAGTCGACTGTTTTAAACAAAAATAAACGAACACTTTATTAATAATAAAAAGAGAATGACGTCATTGTTGATTTTGGGACACATGAAAGCGGTCGGTTCTACATTTTCATTATATAGTTTATTTATATATTTACATAATTTTAATTATTATATTAGTTTATGTATTTACATACTTTTAATGAAGTATTTCTCATCCGTAAGAAGTATTTGTTTGCTTCATTCTATTACGTGTGAACAGTTTTGACGGAAATGTTGATACTTTAATCGTATATTTATCAATAATAGTTTATATCAATAATAGCCATTTCATAAAAAAAGAAAGATAGGTTAAAATAGGGAATAAATGATTAAATACGTAAATATTTTAATTTATTGAATATTGAACCGTATATTGAACCGTTTTTCTAAGTATTGTGATTCCCTCATGAATTGGACACCTGCAAGTGACGTCATCGTAGGCAAATCGTGGTATTTGTCAATTTAGAACCCAATCAGACTCGACACACACGTGACATCATTCACAGTTATCCAATTAAATCTAATTTAAATCACATGGTTAGACATAATTACTTTACTTCTTCTAAAGTTGCCAGTATCTAATTATATCCTTCTCAAATCATAATACATTTTTGGATTAAAAAAAATCGAGAAAAAATTATGCAAGCAATTAATTTTCTTTTTTTGCATTGACGCACGAATTTACTTCTAAAACTCAATCGCAAATTAAAATTATTTTAATGATTGCTATTTTTGGTAATCATTAAAATGATATCAGAATTGTCCAAGCTCATATTAAGTCAGTTTGATTATATTGTACTGAAACTCCTTGTTATTTTTTAATAGTACGTTCCACTGAATTTCCAGTATGATCTGTCTGACTATGGTCACTTAGTTGATATATTTTTCATACTTAGAATACTATTACTTAACGTAGAAATTAATCTAAGAATAAAAACAATTTCTTAAATATAAGAAAAATTAGTTCTGAAGACTTAGCTCTGAAATAACTTACTACTTATTTTAACAGTTTCTCTTTGCAAACTTCTTAGTTGGCTTAGTATAATTAGTATTCATTATCATATGCAGCAGAAAAATAAAGAAGAAAAAGCTTAATGCTTACAAAACAATCTTACTGGTAAGAGTTATTTGTAAGTATGGAACCTATGATTTCCATGTTTAACAATTATCACGCTGCTTTTTAATTCCAATGCTTGACTTGAAATACACTCTATAACAAAAAAATCGAAGCACCAAGAAGCAATCATCCGATTGCTTTGAAATTTCGTATGCATGAATGTTTTGTACAGATATGGCTGGAATGATGCCGACTGGGGACGCATAGTCTTTAGCGACGAATCCCGCTTCCAACTGTGTCCTGACGATCATCGAAGACGTGTTTGGAGACGCACAGGGTAGAGGGGGGATCCTGCCTTAACTATTGCACGCCACACCGGCCCTCAACAAGGCATTATGGTCTGGGGTGCCTTTGCCAGCCGGACCTCTTTGGTCGTCATTAGAGGTATACTTACTGCACAGCGGTACGTCGACGACATCCTAAGACCTGTTTTGCTACCGTTCCTTTTGTAGCACCCTGGGCTGGTTTTTCAGCAGGACAATGCCAGACCACATGTGGCACGTGTTGCTATGAACTGTCTGCGAGCTTGTCAAACTCTTCCTTGGCCTGCCAGATCACCAGATCTCTCTCCCATCGAGCATGTCTGGGATATGATGGGAAGGCGATTGCATCTGGCACGGAATGTTGATGACCTCGTTCGACAATTGGATCGAATTTGGCAGGAAATACCGCAAGAGACCATCCGGGAGCTTTATCGATCTATGCCACGCCGTGTGGCAGCTTGTATCCAGGCTAGAGGCGGTTCAACACCTTATTGAACTTGTTACTGTAACTCAGCAATAAATTATTCAATTGTTCTGAAATTTTGATCATTTACTATTCTGTACATTGTCTTCCTATCCACCAATTTTCGTTTCAATCGGACAACTCCTTCTTGGTGCGTCAATTTTTTTGTTATAGAGTGTATTTAGAAAAAATTGAAATAAGCATTAAAATGACAATTTATTAAATTATAATTTATTAAATTATAATTTATTATAGCAGTAATTCTAATATAGATGCATTTAAATACATGCTTATTTCTTCCCAACCACTTAGTGAGATTTTAGCTTAGTTTTTTCCCCTCTAATTTCAAAATTTAGAAATTTCTTTTACTATATTTTCTAAAATGGTAAATGAATAAATAATTTGCACGTTTAAAATCATAATGGTCGATATTAGTAGTTTTATTTTGATACAAACTTTATTTGTTTAAAAGAATTAAAATGTTTATTTTTTAATCAAATGAATATTTTTTCTCAATATATTTGATAAATCGATTTTTCAATTGATCAATTTTTTAAAAAAAATATTTTTTACCAATCAAAAAAATGTTTGTTTTTAAACATAAAACTTGTTTTACATTTAAATAGTAAATACGACAATTACCGACACCGATATTGATTCGATAAATTCCACAGCGAAAGTTAATGATCATTGAAAGTCAACAGTAAATTACACAGAGACTAGAAGCATTATTAAAAAAAATAAATAAAAATCATGCTTATATTTAAGAATACTTGTACATAAAATATCCTTTCTTTGATGATGTTGTAATTTTCTCATAGTTCTTACTTCAATATCAGTCACTTTAGAATTTTTTAATTTTCTGATTGAAAGAAAGGTGGGTTACTTAGAAAAATAGATTTATTTTCAAACATTTCATTAAATTTTGAATGAAAAATATCACCTTAAGCCAAAAAAGGATTTTGAATAAGATCTACATACTTGTAGAGTAAAAAAAATCAGCAGAAAAATAGATATATTTCCTTTTGTTGATAAAAAGTAGTTTTTAAAATTACATTTCTTTAATTTTTAAATCATTTATGTTTTTATGATCAAAATACACACGAATCACAATAGATCATTTTATTAACAAAATTAAAGATTAATTTTGTGTATTTTCAATATTGTTTGCAATGTTACTTATTCTTTTCTAAAATTACTATATTTCTTTAAGAATTATTTTGCTTATTGTTTGTATACAGTTATCATGTCTATGAAATTTGATACAGTTTCATTTAAATTATTCTTGTACAAAATATTTATAAAATAATTAATAATTCTTAGTTTGTATTTTGCATCTAGTAATTCTTTTCGAATTAAAAAATATACTATTTTTAATTAAAATATATGAAAATTGGCAGTTAAAGTTTATTTTGATCGCTTGAACATATCTACTATTTCTGCAATTAGTTTCATTTCATTTAAAAAAAATTAATTGGAATACTAATTTTAATTTTAAACAATAATTTTATTTGAACTTACTAACAAATATAAAAAAAGCTGCTTAACCTTTAAGTATAAAAAAGTAACCTATTTAAATTGATATTAGTAAGTTTAACTCCAAACATATGTATTTCTAAAAAGTAGAAAAGTGAAATATAAACTGTTAAGAGAATGTAGGAAATATTTATTATTATTTCGGGTCAAATAGTTAATTATTTTTCCATTTATAATCACTGTGACCGTCTATTGCTTTGTCATATTGGAGGAAAATGGAAAAAATATTTTATTTGACATATTTAAGACACGTTAGTGTTTCTTTTATGTTTTGTGAATTTTTTTTAACTGAGTAAAAGTAACACCATTATAGGTTTCAGATTGCGTTCCTGGATTGCAGCATGTTGTTTCAGCAAATAATTACAATTTTTAATGCATAGTAGACATATTTGGGACGAGCGATATTTAATACTCTTGATTCCCCTATTTTATTATTAATTTCTTTATGTAAAATGTCATTTTTATTTCCAAAGCAATTTCTATTATATTATTGGACTTTCTTTGAGTTTGCAGTTTTTAGTTGTAGGTATAACAAGTATGCAACAAAAGTGACCTATTAATAATTGTACTTAATTTTGTTTAATATGATATACACTGAAGAGCCATTACATTATAACCACCATCCATCTATAACAATGGGCTCACCCAGGTTTTCATAGTTTCTCGTCCAGGAACAATGTTTCAAAGAACAATCCCTGCCGTCTGTAAGCTACTTGAACATAGTTGCAGACCAGGTTCACCCATTCATGGCAACAGTTTTTCCTGCGGAAGATGGTGTTTACCAACAGGATAAAGCACCATGTCATAAGGATCGAATCGTCGAGGAACATACCAGTGATTTTCAAGTCATGTCTTGGCCTCTAAATTCACCTGAACTTAATCCAATAGAGCATTTGTGGTCCTACCTGAAAAACCAAATTCGTGCTGCCACGCTACCCCCTCGCAATGTGAGAGAATTGCATGACCAGTTGGAGAGCGCTTGGTACCAATTACCTCAGACTACCAATCAGCACCTTGTGGAATCAATGCCACGGCGGATGCTAGCAGTTTTGAGGGCTAAATGTGGTCCTACATGTTATTAGCAGGGTGGTCATAATGTAATGGCTCTTCGGTGTATGTGCTTGATTATAAATAAATTTGCAATTAAATATTTTTTTAAGTCAGTTGCATAACTTCTTAAGTTTAGAATGTAACTGATAAATTAATCTTTTTTTAAATTTCAGTTTGTGAATATTCTGTCCACGTAGAATGCCAAGATTTTGGAGTTGCTGATTGTAAGGAATGTGCAACCTATGTTCCAAGCCGTGATGTGGTAATGTATTTTTTACCTCTTATAGTAACTCCTGGCAGCTTTGATACTATTTATTTGTACTAGTTATAACTGTAAGGAAATATATTATGTAAAATAAGGTTGCTTTCTGATGGAAGGTTTATGCATGTAACGTTTGTTTTTCGTAAAATTAAGCGTTTCGGAGATTATAACTTCCAACTAAAAATTAATTATCATGATTTATAAAAACATTGATTGCTATTAATTTTATAACTTCAATAATTTATAAATATTAAATGCAGAATTTATAAAAAGAAATATTTTTTAAAATAGGTTTAGGTATAAATTTTAAATTTTTATTCAAATTTGTTTCTGAACAGTTGAAATAGTTGTTTTGATTAAAAAATACATATAAGTACATGAGCTAATCTAATAATTGAATACTTTAAATCGAAATCGTATGTAATTAAAACAATTTTATTAGCAATGATGAATTTCTTTACAAGTTTTAGGTATTATTGATAGTGCAGAAATTACATGAAAAAAATATTTTTGTATTGTTAAACCATGATTTTCTGAAAACGGTATTCAATTTTTTTGAATTACAGATATGAGTAGATTCTACAAGGCTCTCACTACTGATTTTTAGGAGTTAATCAGATATTTTTAATTACATTTGTTTTGATGGGAATTTAGGATAGAAATCTCTTCAATTTTCTAATATTTGATGTAAAAATCATGTTTTTAATATATTTAGTTTAATAGTGTTTGAAATGAGCATTTTGTAGACAGACTGCATACATTTTTTCCATTCAAAATTATTTGTATTAAAAAAGAACGTTTTAAGAAAATAGCAACTACTTTAAAATATTATAATAAAATATTTAAAAAAATTTTTTTATGCTTATTATTGCAATTCATTCGAGGATTACTTTTAATCACAGTAATTTGGTTATTTACTACACGAAAGCTCTATAAAATGATTTTTTTCCGAAATTCTTCTTGTCTCCTTAATTTTCACATTAATGATGATTAATTATATCAAAATATGAAGCAATTTAAAATAAAAAAAGTTAATTTGAGCATAAAGTGATTTGGATTCCATAAACAAATATCATCATTAAAGGCAAATGTATGTATGTTTTTTTCTTCAACTAATCATCGAAGTTCTCTGTTTCACCAATAATATTTGTTAATAAGATCAAAACAGCTGCATACTTCAGCTATTTTTATTTCAGTTTCTTGTGTATCTTTCCAACTCGAAGATACAACTCTATCTGATGCAGTGTTTAATATAAATTGCAAAACGGCTTTATCCAATTATAATATTTTTTAATATTTTAATATTTAAAAAAATATTTTAATATTTATGAAAATATTTTAATATTTAAAAATGATTTTAATATTTAAGAAAATATTTTAATATTTAAAATATATTTTAATATTTAAAAAAATATTTTAATATTTAAAATTGTTTTTTAATATTTAAATTTTTTTTTAATGTTTAAAATTTTTTTTTAATATTTAAATTTTAATAATTTTTAATAAATTTTAATAATTTTTCTTAATATTTAAATTTTTTTTTAATATTTACAAAAATATTTTAATATTTAAGAAAATATTTTGATATTCAAAGATATTAATGCTTTTTCATAATTTAAGTAATCAAAAATATTGAGTTATAATTCTAATTGTGTTTTAAGTCGCCGTATGTGGTATTGATGTGTAAATTTTTATTATATATTTGAGATTTGTTTGACATATCTTTTTCCAAATGTTACATGAATAGCTTTCCTCTTAATATTATCTTTTTTCGTTTAGTCTACAATGACACAAACCCATCATTGGAGAGAAGGTAATTTACCCGCTAACTCGAAGTGCCAATTATGCAAGAAAACGTGCTGGTCAGCTGAATGCCTGGCCGGTATGAGGTGTGAATGGTGTAATATCACAGTGAGTTTTCTTTCTTTTTTTATCTCATTTTGTTATTGTAAAATTGGGTTACTTTGTGACAGGTTAGGTTACTTTTGGACACTCGCGTTTTCCAGAGTTAAATAAATAATATATAGCATGAATAGCAAAAATAAAGATAATTTCTTGAGGGGGACACGGAGGAAAATAAATACTAGTAAAATTACCGGACTGTATGGTAATGACATTTCTAGTGAAAAGAGAACAATAAAATATACTGTATTACCTGTATATGGTATTGTCTGGTATAATATATATATGGTATAATTAATATACGGTATTACCAGGAAAATAAATACGAGTAAAATTACCGGACTGTATGGTAATGGCATTTCTAGTGAAAAAAAGAACAATATAAATATAAATAAAATATACGGTATTTAAACCATTCATTTCATAATTGTTTCGTTCTGGTGGTATTGGTTTACTGAAAATTCCGGTGTTCAAAATTGCAGTCCCCATTTAATTTTTTACTTTTAAAAATCATAATTTTGGAATATAGTAAGTCGATAAAATACTTGAAATAGAACAAGTATAGTTTTGAAATTGTTAGATAGTATATTGTTTTAATTTTTAAACACCAAGTTTCAATTTTGTAAAAACTTTTGTAACGGATATAAACTTGAGATATAAATTAATTTTTAAATGTACTATTGAGTTCAATCTATAAAATGACAATGTTCAGCACGCTAATTTCTTATGATAAGTTTTCTAATATGAATTTGGAACTTACAGATTGAGTAAAAATTATAATTTTTATTAATAAATTAAGTTAAAACAAACAGTATGATTAGTTTAAAGCTGTCGTAATGGAAATGCGAAAAAAATGATTAAAATCTGAAATCTAAACCTAGTTTACAGTTTGAAAAAATCATAAATGTCTTTCACACTTTGTATATTTCATTCTTCATTAATGCAGTTTCAAATAAAGAGATGTAATTAAGATTGTTGGGGAAATGTGCATAATAACTAGGGTAATCTGTTAAAGAGACAAAAAATTTGTTTCATTTCTCTACCCAGATAATCTGCAAATTTCTTAGAATATCTGCACATTATCTCTTTTGCAATCGTTAAAGTGTATAAAATATCTTTGCTGGATTAAAAACACCATTTTAGCCCGTTGAAATTAACATATTGTTATTTATTTATTTTTCGCTATCCAAAAATCATTTTACCAAACAATCAAAATATTAGTAGATGGAACCAATAATCAATCGCTTTAAAAAATTTGATACAAAGAATTAAATGGTTTAAAAGCTTAGATTTTTAAAAGCTTTGTCAATTGCAGAGCTTAGGGGAAGAACCGGCAAAGTAACATTTAAAAAAAAAAAAATTAGAGTTTATCGGGGAAAGTTTTTATTTTAGTTTTAGTTAAACATATAACATTTATTTATATTGCTAAATCTGCTCATTCCAACGATGCTCAGTGGAACAAAAGGCTAAGTGACATTCTTTGAGCATTAATTGTATGGAAGAACCGGCTAAGTGACTTGAGAGTAGAAAAATTCTAGCTTAGCATCAAACGCTAAGGCACGACGAGAAAAAAAAGGGCGGAAATGAAAAACTTGTTACAGCAGCTTCCATATATTAAGGAGGAATTTATGTTGTATTTTTACAAGTGAATATTTAAAAAAGGCAAGAAAAAAATAACCCTTTAACAGCTTCAACATACATTCTTTTTCGTTTCTACTTCGCATCAGCATGTGTTTCAAATATATATATATATATTAATATA